TGTTGTTGTTGTTGTTGTTGTTGTTGTTGTTGTTGTTGTTGTTGTTGTTGTTGCTACCGGTGTTGGTGGTAATGATAGCATTCATGTTCAGGGAGGGGGGGGGAGATGGGAGAATGGGAGAAAGGGGAAGAGTTAAGAGGAGGCTCTCTGTCTTAACCCATAGAATCCATTGAAGGTTGGAAATGGGAGGTTTATTCGAAATGTGTTTGGGTTCTGTTTGGTTTTAGTAGACTATCTTCATCAATCAAGAACCATAACTTATGTAATATTATAATTCATTGCTTTAAAACAAGTGCTAAGACAGTGGTGCCCATAGAAAGAACGCTGTTAACGCTGTTAATGCTAGATCGACCTCAGTGACATCTATAAAAAGAACATTGTTAACTATACATTGACAACAGTGACATCTATAAAAAGAACATTATTAACTCTTCCTTTTTCACAGTGACATCTATAAAAAGAACATAGTTAACTCTACATTGACCACAGTGACATCTATAAAAAGAACATAGTTAACTCTATATTGACCACAGTGACAGCTATAAAAAGAACACTGTTAACTCTACATTGACCACACCTTTTCTTCCACAGCAGGGGGCGTGGCTCCTCCAGGCTATACAGAGAAGCCAGGACCCAGCGATAGAGATGCTCCAGCCCCGCCCCCTGACGTCATGCTGTATGAGAACCCGCCCCCTTATCGGACCCAGTCTCCGCCCCCGAAGTATTCCTCGGGAGATCAATAAACGTTGACGGGAACAAATCAGCCTTGGACGCAAAATAAATATTGATGGAAATTAAAAGTAATTGGAAGCACAATTTATCTAGACATTGAAGAGAATAAATGAATAATGGACACACAATAGCTACTGAGAGAAACAAATTCATAAATAGACGCTCAATAAATATCGAAGGCAATATATTCTTAAAACGACGCACAATAAACATTTGGGGAAATAAATGAAAAAATGACGCGTTATAGACAATAAAGAAAATGAATAAATAACAGGCTCTCAATAAACCATTGGAGAAAACTCACCAAAAACAAAATAAGAAGACAACAGATAAATAATAGGCGCACAGTAAATATAGAGGAGAATAAATTAAAGATGCGCACAAGGTGGGAATAATTGGGAGAGGATCATTCTTCTTTGATACCCGTTGTCTATTGTTTGTGTGTTTGTTTATTTGTTTGTTTGTTCAGTAACAGTTTTACGGTGCCTTTTAATTCTAAATGATATTACAATATGTTGATAATGTTATGAACGCTCCCTTATCTCAGTTGCTGTCATGCTGGACCATGGAGCAGATGGCTCTGGTTCGAATCCCAGAATGGGCGTTCTTGAACTGGGGTCGTTTTGTGGAGTTGTTATATATAAAGCTCACTACCCATATGGCTTGGCCCTGTCGCAAAAACACATGAAATTTTGTGGCCCAGCCCGGCCCCACAATTAATGAATAACCTTATAGTGTCGACAGAGGCATTGGATCCACACACTTACTTAAAGATTTTACGTAAAGATCACGTCTTATTTTATCATTGCTTTGTGTTGTTTTTTGTGTGTGTTTTTGTGTTTTTGTTTTTTTTACTTTTTGTTGTTGTTTTTGTTGTTGTTTTTGTTGTTTTTTGTCGATAGAATTTTGGTTTTGCGTCTTTTGAAGCACTCACGTTATACTGGCTCCAACGGTCCTGTATCGGCAACTGTGGTGCAGCAGTTAGGTACTTTGCTGATGGACGCAGGAGATCCCAGTTCGATTCCTGAATGGAAGGAGGTTTTACGGAGTATCTCGGTCTTTCTGCTTGGATGTTTTGTATCCCTCTCAGCCTGGGGTGGCCCTGACAAGCATGGCCGGAAACCAGCCTCCTAAATGATCCTAAATTGGGTCGATGGGGGAGTAAAAACACCAACTGTTTAAAATAAAAATTTTGGTCCTGTAAATGAGGGGCAGCGTGGTGGAATCAGGCTTTCGTCAAAATAATTAAAGTGAAGAAATGCGCATTTTTCCGCAGGTTTGTGAATTTTTATCAAATTTATGTATGTTTTTGTGGCACAACACCTTTCATGCCCATTAAAGAACTCATTTCTGTGTGGATTTTTCTGAAAAACGTTAATTAAAGGCCAAAAAAAAAGAAGTAAATTTTCAGTTACCACGGACTCTTAAACTAAGGAAATAACTAATCTGCGGCGGCCATTTTCTCACTAATTTTACCTCTGAAAACAGGTGACCCCCACCTCCTTCTTTCGCAAATATCTCAATTTGTATTCAAGATAAATGGACATTTTTTTCACCCAAATAAAGACAAGTGAACAAGTTTTAAGATGATACCTAAGCTCTACATGCCCAAAAATTGACGATAGCCTGATTCCACCACGCTGCCTCACATGTTAAGTAACTCGCTTCTGCTCGAACAAGTTCCACTGTATGTTTCCCAGGAAGTTTAGACTGTTTCAGAACGCTATCATGTTAGCTGGGGTCAGAATAAGAACAAGATTGTAAAGCGCATGAAACTGGCTGTTGAGGGGGATCTATACAATCTTTACAATCTTTACAATAATTCATTTGAGGTTTTTAAAAAGTAAGTAATTAAATAATTAAGTAATTAAGTTTATTTAGCGTTAAAGGCTTTAGGCTCATATCACATCATATAAAATACTCATTAGTTAAATAAAATTTCCATGATGAAAATGTAGGCCTACAGGTTGTGCACATATCTCTTATCATAGGTCAAACATTGTATGCTTCTGTCAGACTGGGAGGAATTAACAATTATCCTTGATGGGCAACGTTTGGACAGTAAAATTAAAGTGAAATT